TTCGCTGCAGTTATTGTACAGCTTTGTTTTAATTAACGATATATAAACACTTGGTTTCGAGCTCGTCTTCTGTGGTTTTTCCTTGCTTGCCGCTGGATTGTTGTGATTGTGCGCATCGCTGCCTGCTTAATTCACGATCGGAATCTACGTACACGTACACTTCGGCATACCTCGCGATCTACGGTCGTCCGACGCTAAGGCGCATCAGGATATTTTATATGTGAGGTGAAGCTGACTGACTTGGTCTTCTCCTTTACCGGTTCATCCACAGATGCGGTCTTTGTTTTAGGTCCATCACTATTTCAGTCTGCTAACTCCTGGTTCAACGACCCGTTAAAGAAGGAACACTCATGGGATAATTCTATCCTCCCAGTCCCTCGTGAACTTCAACTTGCCGTCTAAATAAACTATCTTAGCGTATATTATTTTCGGTTTTGGTCCACTAGCAGTGTTGTGGTGATTGGTTGCCTCCACGCTGCGTTGTATAGGTAAACCCATTGACAACTCACGAAGAAGGGCACAAATAAGCAGGAAATGAAACCTCGATTCAGGAAGCACAATAGATTTCACACAACTATCCTAATTCCAACGAACTAATGAAACCGGAGCTGGCTATACAGAACACGAAACCCAAGGTCACAGCATGAGTTTTCTTCCAACGTTCCGATAAATCAAAAACAGCCCTTGAACCATTCAATCGACACCAATCAGGTCGGCTCTGAGCGGTTAAAGTCATAATTCTGGGAAAACCCGGTTTTCAAAACAGAAGTGTTGATAGTGTTCGCAGTCGTGAAGTTCCACAGATGTGTATGGACGAAAATTCACAGTTCCTAAAAATCCTCAATCATTCTTCCATTCTTCATCCAAACTGGATTGCATATTTAAGGACATGGTATCCCTATTTCCAAACTCGTTTCTTTCCATACAGAGTTTTACACCTGTGTGCTTCGGACAGCTGCATTATGACACCATTGACATATTTTTGGTTCCTTATATTTCACTTGACAGACCGCCGATTAGCGAACTGCTACATTGTAACGTTGCTGCATGTCTTTATGTGTCTGCCCTTTTTCCTTACGATTGTAAACCTCGTGAATTGTCTACTTTCTTTAATTTAGGTTATAGAACCACTACAACATTTCTTCTGCCAAGGTCGTGCTTACGGTTAAGTTCACTAGCCTACAGCTTTCCGATTCCGTCTCGTGCCATTTGCTTAGCTTAGGCTTGGTATTGTCGCCACATTTTCTGCTGACCGTAAGCTGCTGCTGTCAATTTTCGTAAAAAGTCAGGCATCCCCGTCAAAAAGGCGAACAGACTGCAACACTGGACTTCTTGTTGAGACACATTTCTACGGAGGACATGAATCAAACGGATACGCCTACTCTGTTATTGAAAAATCAGCAGCCCAACGAGAATCTATCATCGTGGCGATTGCCTTATCATGTGCTGATAAAGAGCCTCAAAATGCTTCCGGTCACTTTAGGAATGGTACGTAACGCATCAAGCCGAGATCCTATTCTTTGCGAAGCTATCAAACGCCACACTGCAGTGGTCGAAGAATAAATAAACTTTTCCAAAGGTAGGATAAACTATTACTCATTAACGGGGGCTTACTACTAGTCAAACGAGTTGTCGTTTCCACGGATCTTCACAGATTGATTCTGCAGCAGTTCCATTGAGGTCATCCAGATAGTAATAAGATGAAAATAATTGCGCTGAGTTTCTTTTTCTGTCCAAATATCGGCTCGGAGTTGGAGCGAGTGACGAAGTCATGCCATTAATCTGCTTGGATCAATTCGCACCCTCAGTTTACCGGTTTTCGCACTAAACGCGATCCTATGAACCCAATCCAAGGCTCTTCAATTTCAGAAATCGCAACAGACCTTCACCAGTTTGCTCAGTTCGGCTGAAAACCTGTCTTTTAACGCGAACGGAATCTTCGCAGCCGGTAGCGCAATCACTCGTATCGAAGGGTCTAGTGCCAATTGAGAGGTACCCTGATATATCCCTCAATTTGGAAAATATACCGGCGGTTACAGATTGCCATCCATTGTTCACTTGACGCATGCATCCAGCGGATGGGTTTATACTGAGACTGAATCGAACCAGTGACGAGAATCTGTGTGAGATCTTTTGCAACCATAAAAATCAGTTACAGATTGCCTATGCTACCGAGCCTCAACTTCGGAATAACTGAGTGGAATCTTTGCACGCTGATAAGCTATTCTATTCGTGGGTTGAGACAGCTCCATCGCCGTTCCAGGTAACTTACTGTGCTTCCTGGCTAGGTTCGCAGAAAATCGGCATCAGGCTAAGGCCTGATGAGAGTGGAACTCTGTACTACAAAACGAGCGACATTTCAAGATGGAGCCGCGCCTTCTGAAGCCTATAACGATATGTCCAATTCTGCTCCATTGTTTACCCCTGCCAGAGGATGGTAAGTGACGTTGATAAAAACTCGCTACTTCTCACCTCCGAACATGTCATCTGATTAACAGACAACCCCAAGCAACTGGAGCTATATGTTGGTTGGCTGCACTAGTCAACAACCAATCAACAACAGCAGTACATTAGTCATTTGAGCTGATGCTTCGCTGCCATACAACAATGAGGACCTATGAAATAAAGAATAAGAAGAGGGAGAGAAGGGGGACTTACATGAAAACTTTAGCGTCCTAAGCAAACATTCAGAGTCAAGGCGCCTACAACTTGTGCTAACAACATACCGTCACGAACAGCTGGCTATCGTGCAAAGATAAGGCGGCATCGGCGAGACATGTTCCTTGCGGCTTTCACTGCCCCGCGTCATAATCAGCCATTACCTCGCAGATAACTCAGCACCAAACACACTTTAAACAGGCAATCCGACTAGGAGACGGCAGCAGACGCGCCACTGGTGTCGGTTGTGAGCCATGTCCTCTAAAGTCTCGAGCCAAGCACAAGGCGATTCACGTGAACTTCGTTTCGGAAGGCGGGACGGACTAACAGCACCAAGTTTGGTCGTCAGGGACTACATTTCCCGCTGCTACGTCAACTTCTGTCCACTTCGAGCCTTGCGCCACCCTACACCCGGCAAACTAAACAAGGACCTCCTAGGTAAGCGGTTACCAGGTATACGTATCACATGCTCGAACCAACGCAACTTATTCAGTGCTATCTCTTGTTCTAGGGAGTTAGCATGCTTATCACCACCTATTATTCACCCACGAATATCATGGTTGTGGACATGCTGGTGCCATCCGACACCAACAATGCTTCGCAGACAACGATTATCGAAGATTTGAAGGCGCCTTAGATCTTCAGACGGAAGGGGCCAAGTCTCACTCCCATGGAGAAGAACAGCCCTCACTGTGGCCTTGTATACACGGCGACTCAGACGGAGGGAAACTCTCTTCTGTCGCCAAAGATGCCGCAGGTTCAAGAAGGCAGCTCTAGTCTTTGCAATGCGTGAGCTGACTTCAGTTTCTATGCTCCCATCATTGCTGATGCAGCTGCTAAGATAAGTGAATTGATCAACCACCTCGAGTTCCTCGTCAACAAGGGTCTAGGGTTCATAAAGTGGCTGGCGGTCCTGCAGCAACATCTTGAAGGTGCGAAATGCACACAAAACACTGGGACCACTCTAGACAGGCTATTCAGGGTTGATTGGGCCACCGCGTAACATCGTCGAAAAGCAAGACGACATCGTCCGCATAATCAAGATCAACTAATCTTTCACCAGACAGCACTTCAAGGCCTAGATCGTGAGATTCCCCAAGTGAACATTGCATGAGAGAATCCACGACGAAATTGAACACAAATGTGGAAATCGGACAACCCTGGCGAACGCCACTTGTGGTCGGAAAGCTATCCGACAGGCCACCGTAGACCCTGACACGGCGTGTATTATTCAATTATAGAGCACGAAGGATGTTCACATATTCCGTGGGAACACTTCCGCGCAAGTGTTTCGACCAGAATCGATCGATGGACTGAATCGAACACACTTGAAATCGAGGAACACAGCTATTGTCGGCCTGCGGTATGTTCTAGCACTTGCCACAAAGTGAATGTATGGTCTATACAGCCACGTCCTGGGCGTAAACCGGCCTGCTCTTCTCTAATCCGAGATTCTTGTTCCACAGTGAGATGACGAACGAGAATCGGGGCCAATAATTTTGTCACAACTGGCGTTAGGCTAATACTTTCAGCGTATGCGCATGCGTAACTTGTCGGCCCTACTCTACGATCCATGGTATGGTGGTTCAGATGTTTGAGAGGCATTTTCGGCACCGAGGGTTCGAGCTCTCCTGCATAAGGCTAGGCGCCCTCCCAGTGTCCCAGCCTGTAGGCGCATTGCAGTGAAGCATCGATATCAAGTGCTGAGGGTCGCCGAGGAAACGGCGCCGTGGTTTGATTTAGCGCTTTGATCAAAGGTGCTGATGCGGACGGCATAACGTCAGTAGCACTGTAGTTATCGTACGCTGGGGAAGCTTTGTATTGCTTATCCAAAGGTTGACGACAGAAGCCCATGGTAAACATTGAGAAAACGCATTATCTTGCTTTCACTTATCCATCATGTTGTATGCAGCAGATAAACCATAAGCTTGGAAGCTAACAAGCGAGGCCAGCGGAACCTTCCCACTGGGTGCCGGTGACGTTTGTCAATTCATAACCCTTAGTTTGGTATGATACCAGACGGGACCCAGTCTTACACTATACACCTGATGGAGTACAATTCTCCGCTGAGTTGATGCAAAGACCAATAACTGCTGACACGTCACAAGGTTGTTAGGCAGACATTGTCGTTTTTCTGTTGATAGAGTGATTGCCAGTCGAAAGCTCATATGCCTTGGAATACTTTCGCCTAGCCGTTCGCTGGGATGGGATAAATCCGAAGCACCTAGCTAACATCTCGAAGAGAGGCTTTCACAAGCCAGACGCACTTTTCTGTTCCCTGTCCTACTTAGATGTTACCTTGAACTAGCCACCCAATTGGCTACTAATGTTTCTCGTTTACAGTTCATTTCTCACAATGGACGACCACGAAGGAACACCAAACCAGCTGCGAAGACCTGTCCGCATTTGGATTGATGGCTGGTAAGTTTGCACAAACACAGCAATTTGCCTTTAGTTTTGATTTAGCCCACTTTGGACACGCAAATGCTTTGCGGCAGGCCAGAAACTTGGGGGATGTTTTAGTTGTTGGTGTACACCCTGATGGTGAGTTGCCTGTGATACCGATACCAGCATTTTTTTCAGAAGAAATAAAGAAACACAAAGGTGCCCCTGTCTACACGCAAGAGGAGCGTTACAGGCTCGTAAAGGCGATTAAATGGGTGGATGAAGTATGACTGAGTAGTTTCACACTTTTCTTGCATCACCTCACTGCGTTCTTATCATTGGCACCAATTCTTTGGATCTGTCGATGTTTGTGTTGTGTCATGCTTAAAAACTAGGACATTTATCCAGCGATTTACTTAAATGTCTAGCATTGGAATGCGGAGTGTTTGATCAATTCCGAAAGTAGAGTTAGTCTCTTATCTCGGCTCGAGTACAGCGACTGATCACCTATTGCGCATTCTACTTGGTCTCTTCACACTCCCAGATCTCTTGCACTGAAATGTCTTATATACGCTGGCTGATGTTACTCTTCTGTAGTCTGCACGCTATCCTACACAGGGCTTTTGTGGACTTCATCGATCCCGATGTGTTGTTCTCATCATACTGTTGCGAATCAGGCACTTGTGTATCTACCTTTCACTCACATGCCATTCTAGACTGAGGTTCATCTCCTTATCACCTAGCTTTCAAACTTATCCTTCGCTTCATCTGCTCAGTGACAAATCGCCGTCGCCCTTAGCTGTTACTGTTGCCAATTCCGACCGTAGTTAACTCAGTGTACCTCTTTGTGATCCCCATATTTCGTTTACATGATAGTATTCTGCTTGTCCTTCGTTAATAAACGCGAACGTGAACTTTAGTGCAAGTGATTTAATGCACTCGCGTTCACTGAATCATGCTCCCTTCTTCAGCACACAATCCACACTTTCCTTATGGAATTCCTTGTCCTTATTTCTATTTATATTGGTCGTACTCGTTTTATTTCTCGCAGGTTGTTGAAGATGTGCCATACGTGACTGATCCGAACACACTGGAACTGTACTCTTGTGATTACGTCGTCCACGGAGGTGAGCAAACTTGTTACTGCTGTAGTCAACACCGACGTCGCAATACCTTATTCGTTGACTCATGTCTCACTCAGAGTGCAAAATAAGTTTCCGATGACAAAATCGGGTCTACCTGCTGATAATGCAGATACGTTTTATTAACGTAAACATTGATTTTCATTTTCGTCTTCCCAAAGACGGGGTTTAGTCAGTCTCATGAATTAAGCTTCTAGTTGATTACTTTGCTAGTCCTTGCCGGTTAATCTCTTTGAACATCCTTCAGCTGCCAGCGTTCATTTCGGTTCGATGCGCATGCACGAACCTAACTTGAGCAAAGCTCATTGGCCGCTCTAAGAACGCTGGTGGATTATGAGGATTCGTGAGACATGAAAATCGAGCATCACAGGGAACACCAGTGGGCTATTCCAACTCGTTCATTACACTAGCCCACGAAGTCTCTTGAGTGAAATAAAATCTAATGAATATGGATAAATTATTCACTCTCAGTCACTTCAGTTGGAACGCCGAGTTGAAGTCTGAACACCAATGACATGGTGTATCAGAATTGTTTGCCCAAACAACGCCCGCATGTGATGTTAACGAAACAATCTTCCACCATCGACGAGGTATGACAGGTTGGTACTACTGAAGCGGAATAAGGCACCTAGCCAAGCTGACGGTGGCGACTCACTAGGTACTACCGTAAATGCTCAGTTTGACACTATTTGACGGGAGGAGAAAATGATTTTTGGCGGTCGTAGACCATCGTTTACAGCTGAAACTAAGGCCAAAACACTGTCCGTGAAAATCATCGTGGTATCAGTTTTACTCCCATGATGTTGCGGCAGCACGCTTTTCCTTACAAGTGACTGATCAGCGCAAATCGAGCCGGCTTCAGTCCCAGTAGGTGGCGCGTTGCTCACATTCTTTACTCCTCGCCAGATGCTTGATTGTCACCATACTCAAAGTAGTCTCTCACTTGAAGGCTGACTAACTTGGTTGATTCCGACTGTTTCTGGCGATACTGAGTCAATGGTTCAGGGTATTTACAGTATTGGTACCGCCCTTAACAAACATACTGAAGTCAATCTGCTCGATCGGACGTCATTTTCCATTTATCTGGAGCACAAAAGTTAGGAAAACATTTAGAAAATTGGAACAGAAAAATTTTGATATTTGTTGCATAGTGTTATACTGAATACTGTGTTGTGGGAACAACTGGTAATTTAAATCAGTACAACTCCATCGTAATATAATCACCACTTGTTTAAAAGATATCTGCCACCCGTGATAATCTCTTCATTCTTCAAGTTCTTATGTAGCATTTTACACTATCCGACTTACAGTTTAGCTGGGCTCACAAATGTAAGATGTCATTGCTAGTATGCGTTCATTCTCTAAATCGAATGATGGTGAATTGTAAATCCATCAAACTTTAGACTTGCTGCATAGAATTGGTTTCCACTGCATGTTCTGGCTGACTGTTCTGAACATTTACCACTCTCCGTTCGAAGCACAGGGGTGAGGTGCTCGTTTTATATCCGGCACCACATGCATGTGCTGGATGGTGTTCGCAAGTGTAGGAGCGACCTCAGCCTGGGGAAGTCATCAAGATGGAATGTGTCATGATGACGTGGCGATAGGACAAGATGTAAAGTCCTCGTAGACTGGCAATGAGCCTGTTAGCGATGTGTTGGACCCATTCGATGTGTTCCTAGCCTCGGGTGATTGGACAGTACACGTGTGAGCCGTATTCCGTTATTTGTCTTTTGATGGAAGAGAAGAGTCGATGGGCGACCTGTTCAGACCAAGTACATGGGCTGCATTTAAGCGCCCAAAGCAGTGTTGTCCACGGACTTCAAATCGCAGCGCGAGAGTACACCTAAGTCTTTCACGGAAGGATGTAAGTTGGGCCGTCATCACACTTCACGAGGCTCATGGATACCGATTGGTTTGGATTGACCGGAAAGGGGACTTCTGCAGACCAAATTGAGAGGCAGTTGAGGGCGCGTCATCTGGGGTGTTCATCACTCCAAATCTTCATGTCTTTCGCAAACTGCGCACACGGCAACAAAAGAAGCTGTGATAGATCGTTAATGTGGGTTAGAAACAGATTGGGTTCCAGCACCCTAGCTTGGGTTAGTCCACTTGTAGAGGGATACTGTTATACTTGAGGGACGCCTCTGTTCTGATTGCGTAACGACTAATAAGATTGTCGCTCACACGGTTGGAGCACGCCTACGATAACGGCTTGTAACGCTGGCCAGTCAAACGGAGTTGCGCTGACCTGATGACGTTAGCTTAGCCGGTGATATGAAAATTGAGCGAGCGTGAGAACGATCCTAGCCGCACATGTTCAGGTAGACGCTGGGCCCTCGGCACGGCCGCCCGCGGTAGGGGGTTACGATAGGCGCGCGCTAATGACTTAGACGCGAATGCTGGCCAGCTAAGGACACACACAAAAACACGTGACCCGACCGACTCCCAAGTAAGGCGAAGAAGAAAGAAAGACAGGCGGTCCCCTGAATGCTCTTTTACGACAAACAAAGGGCGAATCACAGTCATTAAGTTAGGGAAAATTGCTACCACGACGAGATTGTAGTTTGTAAAAGACCGTTGTCAAAAGGTGCACAGTTGGGCCGCGCCTCGGAGTGGCTTAACTGTGCTACGTTGTGAGATGGAATTGAACCTCGCTTTCCACAGCCGTTCTGCCGGGGTTTCTGGCGCGTTTTTGCGGGAATATTTGACGGGCCCGCAACACCTCCCTTTGAAGAGAAAGCGTACCGCTTCTGACGAGGATTGACCTGGAGGGATTTCGGCGACCTCCGGATTCTTTGACGGGCCCGCAACAGATACCAGTCAGTTAGATGTCCTTCGACCGGTGTCCTCCAATTTCGTCCGACGAGTAAGTCCTGGATCCATTGCAGCAGTGATCCACCGACGCTGCCCACTCCAAGCTTGTAGAGGAGGACCCCATGGTTTATTTTGTCGAACACTTAACTGTACTCGATGTAGACTGCGTCAACAGACTTTCCATGGTTCATTGCCTGCAACCATTTATAATGGTGGCTGAAACCTGTGGCGGATTAAATCGTCGCGGTACCGATGGACCGGGACTAATCAGACAAACGGTGAGCGCGCACGACTGATTCGGTCCAGCGCACAAGAGAAACAGCTTGATGTTCGATAGCGGAGAAGCGTATAATGAGCAGACGACTCACTCCTGAGTCCATGGTAACGCCGCGCTCAGCTGCGGCAAATAGGCAATCGTGGGACCATCGAGCAAATGGGCGGACGGCCAATCAGACGCCACCATGTAGTCTACCCGGAATGTCAACAAGGCGGCTCGACGTAACGCTGGATTAACTAAGCATGGATCCGTCCAGCTGAAGAACGAGCACGAATCAATTGGATGGAGATATTGTCACAGGTCAGTCTTTACAAAGCAGCGATACTTCTTAAGAATGATTTCTGATCGCCGCCCAGAATTTATTCTGGATTCCCGGAGGGCCACATGACATGGCGGCAGAGGAGAAGAAACTGAAGTGCAGCCCCCTGCTCGCTTTTGGTGGACAGCCGCCTATCCCACTGCCAACTGCTGTGCAGATGACGGAAAGTACGCTACCTGACAACGAGGATGTGGAAGGCGAAGTGGATGGATTGCGTCACGCTGGCTCATTTGGATTCCCATTCAATGCTTTACCAGCTGGCTGTGTTCAGCCACGCTATCGGCGACAAAGCCAGTCGAGTGCTTGAGACTTTGGCTTTCGATGCTGGTTGCAACTCATCTTCACTGCGTACAAATATCACAAGTTGTCGGAAAACAACAACCTCGAGATGGTTTCACACTTTTGTTCTCCTCCCAAAACATTGGATATGGGCGGGGATCGAAAAGGCATCGTAGTCAGAGGCATTGCAAGCAACGGACCTCATGGCGGTTAGATAAACGTTGGACTGGTTAGGGGTCAAGGCAACTTTGCTTCACACCATGGGACTGTTTGCGGAGAAAAGGTGTGCCTGATAAATACGTAAACATTATCAAAGCGCTGTACGCGCATAGTTCGGACAGAGTTAGGGTTTATGGCAGACTGTCGCCACCCTTCAGTATCACCAGTTTTGTGAGACAAGGTTGCCCGCTGTCACCTTTCCTCTTCGATTTCGCTATTGCTGAAGCCATGGAAACAGCGTTCGTTGGACACGACTTAGAAGGTGTGGAGCTACTTCCTGGTGAGCGACTTCTTGACTTGGAGTACGTGGACGATATTGACAGCTCCTAAACATGTCAAGCAGCACTGTACCGATTAGCACTGGTTGTCAATCGTGTTTAGCTATTCTTTGCTCCATCGAAATGCAAAATACTTCTCCAAGATTGGCAGGGACCCACCCCTGCGCTAACGCTATGTGGTGATCAGCTAGAAGTCGTTCAGGAATTCAAGTACCTGGGCAGCTATATTAACGCCCGTATAGTAAAAGCTCGAGGAGGTTTTACCAATCTCCGCCACATGTGGCGCAAACGCGACATTACTCTCGCCCTGAAGGGTAGAGTTTATAACGCAGCCGTCCGTTCAACTCTCTTATATCGTTGTGAAACCTGGTCGACAGACATAAAGAGGCTCGTCACATTCGATCATCGCTGCCTTCGCAGCCTAGCTCATGTCTGATGGGTGCACCGCGTGAGCAATGATCTTGTTTGACGTCGCGTATTTAGTGCAGGAAGAGCGAGTGAACCGCTTAGCACCATTATATCATGCACCAGACTCCGATGGCTAGGCCACGTGTTGCGCATGGCAGCACACTGACTCCCGCGACGTGCATAGTTTGCGTGGCGGGGTTGCGATTGTAAGAGGAGGAGGGAGGCCAAGCGATGACTTGGTCGAGAGAAATGAAACCCTCACTTCGAAATTGGTGTCGGTTGGTGCATCCCGACTACCTGGCTGGTGTCCTAAGGACGATGAACACGTTTGGTTGGACACACTTGCAGATATGGCTAGGAGCCGGCCCCAATGGCGTTTGTTTTGTAA